CCTGGAGAGACTCCCTTGAGTCCTTGAAAGACTCCCCTGATCAATGGAGAGACCCCCTTGATTCCTTGAAATACTCCCTTAATTCCTTGAGAGACTCCCTTGATCACTGGAGAGACTAATAACTTGTTGTTGTTGCATGTCATGCAGAGGAGGAGAAGGTCGCGTTAGTGGAGAAGCTGAGTCAGATTCCGCTGGAGGGCAGTGACATTGAGAAACACTACGAAACGATCGGCAGTGCTGTGGCGGTATGTGTTGGAGATCTCTGGGTGTAGTCCTATTAGTTGATTTTACGGTTCTCCGCTTCAATTCGTGCGTGATGGATGGGGCTGCTATCTGCAGTTTCATAAGCTGGGCTATATACAGTCACTTATAGCAACTTCGCCCATGGATTCTCGTGTATCAACGTTTATATCGTTCGACCGATGGTTTTAGGTGTCATATTGAATTGGACATGTATTGTGTTGTTAGATGATCGCAGTGGTTTTGGATTTTAGGGTTTTAGGGTAAACCTTAAACTTTAAATCGTCGTGCTGATAGCTATTCATACACCTAGGGTGCGCTGATAAGTAGCCGGGGGGGGGGGGTTTGAAGATTAAAGGTCCATCGAGGTACCCATTTCATGTGCTTGAGATTGCTGGCATAGCTGGTTGGGGTGTCTTTGAAGTTTATTGGTTTTAGGGTTAGAGTCAGGGTTTACGTTGGTTGTTGGACGTTGTGTCTGCGCGTGTTGTACTCACATCCTTGTATTGTGATGTCTGTTTCTCTAAGTCTATCTTTCTATTGCATGCGCAAATGCCCTGATTTTTCACCACGGTATTCTTTGTTGGCCTTTGCGTAGAGTCCGTACTGGGATTGGGCTCTGGAACTGATGAACGCCACTTTGCCCCCAAAGCCCCCCATCTGGCGTGTACAAAGTGGCTGGACTCGCTATACAGTGGATGATCCGCAGGTATGTGAATACACAAATAACCTCAGCCAGATACATACATGCATATATATATATATATATATATATATATGTATATATATATTTCTATATATCTCTATATATCTAAATATATA